TTATGGTTAAGAGTTTCTTGCGCTCATTCGTCTAGTCATTCAAAGACACTGTTAATAGTAGATAGCAAAAATATTAAATAATTTCCGTTTTTCTTAAGAACAATATACTATTTGTATTTATAAAATTGTTTCACAGGTTAGCTGGGGCGTTAGTCAAGATTGATCAATTTAATGAAGAAGAAGCGTCATTTGGATATGAGTTGTCACAGTATCCGAAAAGAAAAGCTATATACGACAAACTTGTGCCTTATAAAAAACTTTTTGATGCGGGTTACGACTTTTTAGGGAAACATAACTTATGGATGACCACAAAGGTAGTAAAAATTAACGCTGGTTACATAATTGATTAAATTCAAGAAACTCACATAATATTTTTAATATAAAGGTTGGAAGTTTCGATCCTGAAGATATTGAGGGTGACGTCGGTTATTATTACAAAATTGTTTATAAATTGGAGAAACAATTCCAAGACGTTCCAGATACGCATAGACTCGCGGTTTCTGTACGGTAACTTTTTTCTCGATCTTATTTTATTGAACAATTTAAATAGCGGGATATATCCTATAAAACCGTTTCGAATGAAAAAGTTCCTAATTAATGTTTTATTAGGGAAAAAATGGATGAATTCAAGACAAATATGCCAATAATTCAAACTCTTGGAAATCCTGGCATGAAGGCTCGTCATTGGGAGAAGGTGTCAGAAATTGTAGGTTTTCCAATTGTCGTGGATGACGAACTCTCACTAGAGAAGGTAATAGATTTCAACCTTGTGGAGTATATCGAGAAGTTCGAGAGTATTTCGGAAGCAGCTACCAAGGAAAATAATTTGGAGAAAGCACTCGACAAGATGATGAAAGAATGGGCGGATCTAAGATTTGATATACTACCTTACAAGTTTGTATCTAACAATCATTTCCTTTTTTTCTAATTGAAAATGGTATGATATTCATGTATTAATCATTATAGGGACACTGGAACTTACATTCTGTCAAGTGTCGATGAAATTCAACTGTTGTTAGATGATCATATTGTTAAGACACAGACCATGAAAAATTCTCCTTACATTAAACCATTCGAGGAAGTAATATAGTAAGTAAATATTCGTTTTTGTTGTTATGTGTGAATTGCTAAAGTTTAACACGATACCATTTTTCTGCCATAGTGATTGGGAAAGTAAATTAATTCTTTTGCAAGATATTTTGGATGAGTGGCTTAAAGTACAGGCTACTTGGATGTACCTAGAACCAATATTTTCATCACCTGATATTCAACAGCAAATTCCAGAGGAGGGTCGTCGTTTTAGTGCTGTTGATAAGGTGTGCTATCTACTATAATTTAATTTATACATGTTAAGCAGAAGTAATAGTGTCTTCACAACAAATTAATTGTTATTGATCGTTACTAATTAATATCGTTGTACCGCAAATTAATTGTTATTTTATTAGATGTGGCGCGAAATTATGAAAGCTGCATTTAATGAGCCAAGAGTCCTTGATGTCATAACGATAGAGAAAATGTTGGATCGTCTACGCAAATCGAATAATTTGTTAGAAATGGTGCAACGCGGCTTAAATGCGTATCTAGAGAAGAAGCGCTTATACTTCCCACGCTTCTTTTTCCTGTCCAACGACGAACTCCTTGAGATCCTATCTGAAACAAAGGATCCGATGCGGTGAGACACTTTTGTGATATATTCTGCTTGCATTTTATAATCCGAAATCTTTTTTTAGAAAACTTAAGTTCATTGCAAGGTTTTATTAAAAATTAAATTCTTATAAATACATTTCTTAAACTTATATCTAACAGTGTGCAGCCTCATCTAAAGAAATGTTTCGAGGGTATAGCTAAGCTAAGTTTCACTGAAGACATGGTGGTAACACACATGAGGTCTTCGGAAGGAGAAATTGTTTTACTGACAATGACTATAAACACAGCAGCTGCAAGAGGACAGGTGGGGTAGTAAATTGGGATTATTCAAAATACTACAAAAATAAAGTCACAACTTAACATTTTCACATTTAGGTAGAAAAATGGCTGCTTGAATTGGAAAAAGCGATGAAAGCATCCGTTCATTATGTAGTTGGTGTTTCTTACGATGACTATTCTCAACGACCTCGACAAGACTGGGTACTGATGTGGCCTGGACAGGCGGTATGTTAAAACATTAACTAACTAGGCAATAAGATACAAATATTTACGAAAAAAAAAATTTGTAGACCTGACTGGAATGCTGAGCAATTGGCATTATGATGGTCGTCGGATTATTTGAATTGTTACATTTTTTTTCTTGTATCTATATTACATAGGTTCAGTGTATAGCAATGACGTTTTGGACTTCGGAAGTAACAGAGGCTATCCACATCAACATCCCGGCTATGAGAGCGTATTGGGATAAATGTAACTTCCAAATATCAAAAATCGTAGATTTGGTACGTGGAGAGCTTAGTCTTCAGAATAGAATCACTCTCGGTAAGGTTTTACTTTCAAAATCTGGAAATATTATGGTTGTTAGAGTTTTTTAATTATGTTTAATTTATATTAGGTGCTTTGGTGGTATTAGATGTACATGCCAGAGACGTATTAATGGTGCTTATTGAATGCAAAGTTCAACACGATAACGACTTTAATTGGCTGTCTCAAATACGATATTACTGGGAAGTAAGTTTAGTTTAAGCTCTATTTATCAAAAAAAAACAAGGAATATGCCAAACCAATGCTATTCTTTGGATTCATTGTAATGTATTTAAATTTTAAATTATATTTTTAAATTATAGGAGCAAGAAGAAGATAACAGCATGCAAATCGCAACTCGTATGATAAACTCCACGCTGATGTACGGCTATGAATACTTGGGTAATACAGGAAGACTCGTCGTTACCCCGCTTACTGATAGATGCTTTAGAACTCTATTCGGAGCCTTGCATCTTAATTTAGGTATCATTTTATAATTACCTACAGCTAATATCAAAGTTTTCAATTAATGATATACATTGCATCTATTTGATATATTCAGTTTTATTATTATGGATTACCTACGTTAAAGGTGGTGCTCCTGAGGGACCTGCAGGTACTGGTAAAACCGAGACAACAAAAGATTTAGCTAAAGCTGTAGCCAAACAATGCGTAGTATTCAATTGTTCGGATGGGCTCGATTACATTGCCCTTGGAAAGTTTTTCAAGGTTAGATATTGAATATCATAATGCATATTTATTTACATTAAAGAATATAATTTTCATATTTGATTACATTATATTAATTTTGGTGATATATTTGTGATCATCATCGGCTTCAGGGTCTAGCATCATGCGGAGCATGGTCATGCTTTGACGAGTTCAATCGGATCGATCTGGAAGTGCTATCTGTGGTAGCACAGCAGATTTTGTCCATCCAAAGAGGCATTAACTCTGGCTCCACGGAGCTTCTGTTTGAAGGCACCTTGCTACAATTGGATAAGTCATGTGCTGTATTCATTACTATGAACCCTGGTTATGCAGGTCGTTCAGAATTGCCAGATAACCTTAAGGTATGAATATGATCAGATTATACGACTAAAGACTTAAAATTCAAATTCAGCTCAAGATCGTTTTTTATAACACTGACATAAAATAGAAATTCAGCTTAAAAAGATGTTCACTTTGGAAAATTATATCTATATTTTCACCTACGAAAAAAGTTCAATTCTACGTAAGTATTTATGTAGACGGTATGACGTTTTTGCAGGCGCTCTTCCGTTCAGTGGCTATGATGGTACCGGATTACGTACTTATTTCTGAGATAGAACTGTACGCTTTCGGTTACCTAAACGCAAAGCCCCTCGCAGTCAAGATTGTAGCCACTTACAAGTTGTGCTCAGAACAACTTTCTTCACAAAGTCATTACGATTATGGTAAATATTTCTTTTAAATTCCCATTCAAATTTTACCAATCAAATCTTCCCAAGGGGCCCCGACTGTGAGTCGTGCTGTTTTGCATTAGAATTTATGATTTGTTTTATGTGTGTATCGATTATAAAACTACTTCAATTGTGTAGTTATTTAGTATAACTTAACAGAATTCTAAACTACTGGGCTTGTTCTTTCTTTTTAGTTTTTATTTAAATTAATTTAGGTCATGTATTTTTTTTAAATTCGTTTTTACGCAGTCGAGTTTTTTGTTTTTTTTTTGAATTATTTATTTTTAATTTTATACTTTTTAGTTATCAATCGAGTTCATCTATCGAGCTTGGTGGTAAACTTTTTTTACTCGGCGACTTGGCGATGTATAAAAGTAATTTTTTATACTAAAAATATTTGATCTTCATGCTTTTCACTGTTTTTTTTGTTTGTATATCGCTTATACTTTAAATAAAAACTTAAATCAATAAGTAAGAAAATAAGCGAGAATGATTGTTTTTTTAAACAACTTTAAATCGTTATATATCCTAAACTATTATTTGAAATGAAAAATTATGAAAGGAACCTAAAAGTGATTTTAAAATACCTATTCAACGACACCCCACTTGACATAGTTCATCGATTTTTTTTAAATTTTGACAATATGACGTCTGGTTGTCGGTGTGGTGAATTTTGATTACTATCTGTCGGGTAATCAAAATTAGCATTTTGATTACCCGACAGATAGCAGTCGGATAAAAAGCATCTGTATTGACATGATTTTCCTGTTCTAATTCATTACTAGCTTATAAAAGTCGTTGCTGCTTTTACCATGATCCATCACAAGGGCCCGATCAGATACAACCAGGTTTAACGGCTTAACGTGCCTTCTGAACCAGGAAGGAGCTAGAGATCATAAATTTTTAGCCACCCATCCTATGACCTTGACCTTGCGAAAGTTGCTTGACAACCATATTGCAGACAGAGCGCACTAACTGTGCTATCGAGCTCCTCCTATTCTATTTTACAATTCTAATCCAGAACTATATTGGTTTAGGTCAAATTTGCAAAATGTCGTATAACGTATATGATATTATTTTATTAATCAGATTTTAATGTTATAAGGAATGAGAGCTGTAAAGTCTGTGTTGCGAGCGGCTGGCGCATTGAAATTACGATATCCAGATGAGGATGAGGACGTTATTCTCCTTCGCTCTATCAAAGATGTCAATCTTCCTAAATTCCTTGAACATGATGTACCCTTGTTTATGGTGAGTCATTATAGAATTCTATTTCAATATTGAGTACTTTTGAAAAAACTTCCTAAACAGATTCTTTACACTGTCCGTTCTTAAACAATCACACCAATGTAAATTATAACAAATAAACTTATGTCTGTGAATTTTCTATGATATCGTTAACATTGGTGGCAATTCTGTTGCCAGACTAGACAAAATTTAGTTTAATCCTCTCAATCTGTTTATTTCTCATCATTATCGTTTAATGTAGGGTATCATTGGCGACTTGTTCCCTGGTCTACCGCTTCCTGAGGCTGGCTTACCACATTTAGTGGCTTGCTTGAAGGAAGTATGTGTACCACTCAACCTTCAAGCTAATGAGTTCTTTATAGAAAAGGTGATACTGCACATGTATTATTATGTTAGGTAATATTTATACAGTTAATTATATTTTTTGATTATTATTTATTTTTACAAATAGGTATTGCAACTGTTTGAGATGATTTTGGTGCGGCATGGGCTTATGCTTGTGGGCTTTCCATTCTCCGGAAAGACAAAGTGCTATCATGCTCTTGGACATGCTTTAGGACTGGTCCATGAAAAGGTGTGAATTTAGTGAATAAACGTAATTTTTTACTTTTATATTGTCTTTTATAAAAGTGGTTTGTTTAATTTATGAACTTAGAAATTAATGGACGAAAACCCAGTAGAGTGGACAGTAATAAACCCAAAGTCAATAACAATGGGCCAACTTTACGGGCAGTTTGATCCCGTATCCCACGAGTGGTCCGATGGCATTTTGGCAGTCAGCTATAGAGCCTTTGCTGTTTCTACAAATGATAACAGGTAAAAAAAAGTTATCGAAAATGTAAATTATCTTCAGTATAGCACAAATCTGACGGTTTTACAATACTGAATATTTTATAGAAAATGGCTTGTGTTTGACGGTCCAGTAGATGCTATTTGGATTGAAAATCTAAATACAGTACTCGATGACAATAAAAAATTATGTCTCATGAGTGGTGAAATTATTCAGCTGGCGCCAACTACAAACTTAATATTCGAACCTATGGACTTGGAAGCGGCTTCACCGGCTACGGTACAGTATTTCTGTTACACCAATATCTTTGATTTTTTAAAATATATTTAACTAAAAAAGATAGCTTTCATTCAGTATTGATATAACTATCACTATGTTAAAGCCAGAAAAATCTAGTCGCTAGAGAACTTACGATGTAGGCAAATATAATAATAATAATAATAATTGGTGTAATATTGGCTATTATAAATTAATTGTACAGATTGACACAGATTGTAAAAAATGAGAACAAACCTTATCCACTCTAGGTATCCCGATGCGGTATGATTTATATGGAGCCCAAAGGTTTAGGTTGGAAATGTTTGTTGGAATCATGGCTGAATACATTACCGCCGACTCTGCACAGTGTCAATCGTAACCTCATAAGAACACTTTTCAATAGATTTATGTCCCCATTGCTGTGGCTCGTCGAGTACTCTGGAAAAACTAAGGTAACATTATTTAGCATTTTCATAAAACCACGAAATGAGAAATTCTTCTTTTGATTGGAATTTAGAAAGACATAATATATTTCTTTCTTTCTGGTCCAGATCAATGGTAATCATGAGTGATTTAAAACTTATATACTTAACAAATATTTGGTTTTAAATTACTTATGATTTCCATTTGTGTAGTTTTTGTTGATTAATTGTTTATTTGGATAGTTTTTACCTAATTCTATTAAGTAAGTGTATTGTCATTTTTGTTCTTTACTAAAAATTTTCAGCAAATGTATGTAACGTCTCGAAGTAATATGGTGGTATCCTGTATGAGATTGTATGACTCATTCATGGATGATTTTTACGATGAAAAGTACGTTGAACAGATATCTGATTTGGATATACGAGCTCAATTAGAGGTTTGTTTATATTTGGCATATTAGCGATCCTGAACAAGTGTGTTACATTGATGAATGTACGTTATGGGTATTTGATTATAAAAAGTTTCACTTTAATTCTAGGGTGTATTTTTCTTCTCTTGTATATGGTCAATAGGAGCTACTCTTGAAGCTGATAGCAGACATAAATTTGATATAATGTTTAGGGGGCTTTTAGAGAAGGAGTTTCCTGAAGCTGTAAGTATGAAAACCACTTAAAGTCAATAATTCTATTAAATAATGTTGAAATATTAAAAATATGATGAAATATCTAAAATACTGAAGCTAGCTTAGATCTTTCAACTAAAATATTTCAGGTGATAGAGAAATTGGGTTATCCACGAGAAATAGGCAAACCAGAAAAACAGTATATATTCAGCATACCTAAAGATGGACTTGTTTATGATTATCGCTTTATCAAAGAGGTAATTATACATCTTACTTTTAATTTTGAGCGTATGTAGCAGATATATATTTTTTAATATCAAACAACATCACATACATTGCTCAGACACCAAGATCAGTAGCTAACACCCCCGTATTATGGAGTATCCGAGATAACGAAGGCACAATAACACCCAGACCCGAGACAATTTAGAAAATCCTTTCACTACATTGACTCGACCGGGAATCGAATCCGATACTTCAGAGATGGCGACACTACTCGTCTACGGAGGTCGTCGTGGTATTATTGTGTTACATCAAAATTTTGTAATTATTACTTAACTAATTAAATTCATTAACAGTTAACCTTTGTCAGGGTAAAGGCAAGTGGAAGCCGTGGTATGACGACGTAGTATCAGCGCCGCCCATAAGCAGAGACACTCCTCCGAATCAAATTTTGGTAACAACTTTGGACAGCGTGCGTTACCTCGCGCTTTTTAAATTACTCGTCACTCACCACTCAGCGGTCATGATGGTCGGCCCTACCGGAACTGGAAAGTCTTCCTATATAATTGTAATTCATCAAAATAGTTTTCTACTATATTAGGAAATATTTTTCTTGCATATATTGAACTGCCTTTCTCATTTTGTTTCTTTTTAAAGGATTTCTTGGTGAAGAGAGTTGACACAAAAGTTTACAAAGCTCTTATAATGGCCTTCTCTGCACAAACGAATTGTAATCAGACTCAAGATATTATCATGGGAAAGCTGGATAAACGAAGAAAAGGTATGTTTATGGATAAAAGAGCCTGGAGAATTGCCTAGTATATTTTCTTAGCTTCCTTTAGATTTTGGTATCAGCTACAGAAAAAGTGTGTGTTAAAACAGGTAAAGGTTATCACAAAAAAATATTAACTTGCGGAATCTTTTAGGTGTATTTGGGCCGCCAATCGGTTGCTATAGCGTAGTATTTGTGGATGACGTGAGCATGCCTCAAGCGGAAACTTATGGCGCACAACCACCCATTGAAGTACTACGGCAAGGTATCGATCTGGGCTTGTGGTACGATCGCAAAACCAATGTCGCTATGCACCTGATTGATGTCCAGGTAGGAAAATCAAATTCATTAAAAACATATTGTAACGCACAAAGAACAACATAAAACTTACAATTCCATATTATGAAATAATAGCAATTTTACACAATTTATCAATTTAAATCTCATCGCGACATGGTCCTTGTAAATATTTTAATAATTTATAAAACTTCAATAATTCCAATATTTCAAAAAAGTATAAAGTCATAAAAATATCTTTATAACAAATATGTTTTTTTTTTACAAATTTAAATTCTAGCAAAACACGCACAACAAGCAGTGATTCTCGTCATATTGTTTTAAAATCACTAGAAATATAAATTGATATTATGTATAAAAACGAGCAAATTAAATTAGGAATTCATTGATTATCTATTGGTTTAATAATTTTTACAAATTTGTGCAGAAATTATTTTTGTGTCTTTGTATTCTTTTAGTTCATGTGTGCAATGGGTAAACCAACACCGGGAGCAAAACTTGTCACGCCCCGTTTTTCACGTCATTTTTCATTTTTCTGCATCGATGAGTTCGATGACGACACTCTGAAGGTGATCTTTGGAAGGATAATGTTATGGCATCTAGATACAAGGTAACTTCTTTTGACAAAATCTTATCATTATTTTAATTTACTTGATAAGGCGTGTCAACAAAAGTGTTTAAAGGATAACAATTTTCAGAGGGTTTTCGAAAGATTTCGACCCTTGCATTGAAGAGATTGTAGCTGGAACTCTGGAAGTGTATAAACAGTGCCGATTGAATTTACTACCGACGCCATCCAAATCCCATTACACTTTCAATTTGAGAGACTTCTCCAGGGTTATATTGGTTTGTATTACTAAAATATATGGCAGTGAGAATTTAGATCGAGCCACTGTATAAGTATATGATTGTTTAATAATATCTGTATTAATAATCGTTAAAATGTATTTACATTCTAATTTAATATTTTCTTTGTTTCAGGGAGTTCTTTTGTCGGTACCAGAAGTGACACCTGATCTTCAATCAATTAAGCGTCTCTGGGTGCATGAGTGCTTACGCGTATTTTCTGACCGGTTAGTGGAGGATGCCGATAGACAGTGGCTGGTCAAATGCCTACGCGAGGCTACAGCTGGTTGTCTCAACGATGATTTTGATAAGATGTTATCGAGGTTGCTTGAAGGTCCAGGAGATAAAGAGGTGGATAGATAATAACTATATTTACAGTGAAAATTGATATCTTCTGGCAGAAACTTTAAGTCTTTTTAATCAATTTCACAGTTAAGAACTGTCACCATACTGAATGATGATGCTTTTATTTGCGATTAATATATAAATATTTATTTTATAGATTACTGATTTTCACTTACGTAAACTTATTTACTGCGACTTTGCCAATCCAAAAGTTGACACTCGGTTCTATATGGAAACCACAAATATGGAACATTTGAATGCCACGGTGGATGCCTTTTTGGTAGAATTTAATAACATGTCGAAGAAACCTATGAATCTTGTTCTTTTTAGGTAATTTTTTCATGTTTTTTGCAATTGATCAAAGTTTGCTATTGTTTTTATATTTTAGTGTCTTCTTTACGAGCGACGGTTCAGGTATTTAATTAACAACATTTTTACAGGTTTGCTATTGAACATGTGTCACGCATTTGCCGTGTCCTAACTCAGCCGAGATCACATGCTCTCCTTGTGGGGCTTGGTGGTTCTGGAAGACAATCGTTAACTCGTTTGGCAGCTCACATCAACGAATATGATCTCTTCCAGGTGGGTTTGCTTTTAAAGTCAAAATATCTTTAAATAAACAATTTAGGTTGAGTTAATTAAAATGTACGCTTCTTTACAGGTAGAAATGAGTCGAACTTACGGTAAAACAGAATGGCGTGAGGACTTAAAAACATTACTGCGAAAATCAAGCACACCAGATTTAATGATGGTGTTTTTATTTATTGAGTCACAGGTAATTTTGTATAACTGTAATTATGTAATTAATTCCATAAATTGGATAACGTTATACACATTCTCGCCAATGTTCTTTTTAGATTAAAGAGGAAGGTTTCCTTGAAGATGTGAATAACATGTTGAATTCTGGTGAAGTCCCTAACATTTTCGGTGCAGACGAAAAAGCAGAACTTTGTGAGAAAATGCGCGTTGTAAGTATTGAAAATACATAAAACACAAATTATTTTCTCATTTGAGAATAGTGTTTTATCGTTTACTAATTTATAAATTGACTTTACAATGTTTAGATCGACAGACAACGTGATAAATCTTTGCAAACCGACGGCAGTCCCACGGCTCTATATGCATACTTCGTTTCCATCGTGCGGGACCAGTTGCATATTGTTCTGGCCATGTCTCCTGCTGGTACTTCTTTGCGTACAAGAATCCGCAAATTCCCGTCGCTCGTCAACTGTTGCACAATCGATTGGTTCCAGGCAAGTGCCTTGTTTGCTCGATATTTTTTCAAACCCTTAGCCATACCTTTCAGGAGCTTCAGTACAATAAAATCCTGGAAGGTAATTTGAATCTTATTTATGGAATTGTGTTGTCTAAGTGAATCAATTTGTAACGCGATTCATTATTATCTCATAATTTCAAATATACAAAAATCCGATCAATTAATTAAACTTGAATTAAGGAAAAAAATTTAATGTTTTTACCAGTTTCTATAGTATATGTAATATTGTATATAATGTAATATGTAAATGATGGATAATTTTGCACTGGAATTTCTAAAATTTCTTTTCGACTTTTATAACAGGAATGGCCACCAGATGCTTTGTTAGCTGTAGCGACTCGTTTTCTCAAAGATATTGAGCTGACTGACCTGGAGCGTAACACGGCCATAACGCTCTGTCAGATGTTCCACACAGACACGCAGGAGCTCTCACGACAATTCCTGTTGCGCCTTAAACGATACAACTACGTCACTCCTACTGCTTACTTAGAGCTTATTAACATGTTCAAGACTCTATTGTCCAAGAAACGCACGTTAGTAAATTTTTACAAATTTTTTATCTTAGATTACGAAGCGCCTTAATTTGACTGGTAATTATTTTATAGTTATGATTAACAAATATTATTAATATTTCTATAGTGAGTTGTTGACGGGTGAGAAGCGATATATTACTGGTTTGGATCAGTTGGCTATAGCTGCTAAATCAGTGGCGGCTCTTCAAGAAGCGTTAGAAGTGTTACAGCCTAAATTGGCTGCTGGCGCTGCTGCTGTGGCTGTAACCACCGCCAAAGTAGAGAAAGAAAAAGAAGGAGTAGCACTTGTGGAAGCAGAAGTGCTGGCTGATCAAGCGGCAGCGGAAGAACAGGTTTGAAGAATTTATTGGACTTTTCAGTTTCTTTTTATTCGATTTGAAAAAGTGTATAAGTGCGCGTGTATACATGCGATGTTCTTTCGAAATACATTCATGATTATAAGTGCTATTTATCAAATAAAACAAAAGCGATGTTATGAATAAAATTGTTTCCCCTCTGTCATAACTTTATGTCTATTATCTATTCAAGAGGGTTTTTATAAAATATTTTATAGGCGCAAGAGGCGCAAGGTATTAAAGATGAATGCGACGCCGATTTAGCGGAGGCAATGCCGATCCTGAATGCTGCATTAGCAGCACTAGATACCCTTACTCCCCAAGATATCACTTTCATCAAAACAATGAAGAGTCCACCCCGTGGAATCAAGCTGGTCATGGAGGCTATATGCATATTGAAGGTAGAAAATATTTTATTCTTACTGAGCATGCTTAACCGATCACAGTGATATAGGTATTCCATTTAAGCTAAATAAAAAATAATTATTAAAATTGATCAACCCTACATTAGCTGCATATTTATCTATGGCTACATTCACAATTTTATAATGATAGAAAAATGCTTAATATATAAAAGGCAAACCGTGACTTGCTGATCTTTCAAGGCAAATCTCAAACCTCTGGACTGAACGTGCTGAAAGGCACTCAGACTATCATTAAGATTAAGATATTCGCTACGAAAGGATTATGATAAATTAAATCCCTAAAAGGAATAATTAAGGGTGTGAAAGTTATGTCATTCTCGAATTGGTTGGTTTTTCTCGAAAAAATACAGCTACTTTTTTTTATTATTCTTTTTAAAATTAATTTGTAATTCTTGTTTAATGCTTTAACGCAAAGGATGATCCTGTAAGTATAAATTTTTCTTCTGATATATCACCAAAGATAATTTAGGGATATTATAATAATATAGGGATATCATAATAATAATGAGTATTCATAATATAATGCAGAAGATAAAGTTTTCAAAATATTAATTATATATTGTACTGTTAATTTGAAGAATTTTTTACTTTACAGTATTGTTAAAAATAACACTTAATCAGACAAGGGAGAGCTGAAGAAAAAAAATATAATCAGCATTTTATTTGAAATTCGATGATACAGTGCTGAGTGGCAAGCACACCGGTTATTTAAGGTGGTTCTAAAACTTGTTTTATTATTTTGATAGGAAATGAAACCTGATAAAATTCCAAATCCTTCGGGAGTGGGCACTATAGAAGACTACTGGGGTCCATCAAAAAAATTACTTAACGACATCAAGTTCCTAGAAGGGCTACAAAATTATGATAAAGATAATATTCCTCCGGCGGTCATGAAGAAGTTGACGACTACAGTTATGCAAGATGATGGTTTTGTGCCTGAGAAGATCAGAACCGTGTCAGTTGCCGCTGAGGGTAATGTTGTTTTGTTCATACAAGTTATTATCAATATCAAAAGCGGTACTATAGTATATTCATAAAAAGATAAATTACTAAGAAAAATGCGTATGTAATTTAAAAATACGTACAAAACACAAGACAGGAGATAGAAAGCATTAACAATTAACAATAGGTGACAAAGTCAGGAATTCAAATAAAAATAAATAAAAAATCACTTATCAAAAGAACCTGGCAAATATAACACAAGTCATTGAAACGATATTCATTATTTGACTTACAGATTCTCCTTTCCTCTTTTAGCAAACGACAGGGTTAACTTATATTACAGGAAAAAAGGTTATACAAATCAATTCTGAAGAGGGCGAGACCAAAATTACTAACTTTTAACTGGTTTTGTATAAATAAATTACATCCAAATATGCTATATAATTAAAAATGAGGAAACTACGTCATATTTGTAAAGAGTCTTTCACAGCCAAAACGTGAATTTAAAAATTTTCTCGATATAAATAAATCACAAAGCCACTCTAAACTTTATAATTTTACTTTATACATCTTTTTTTAAAGAGTTTGTCAATTGTGAATATTATTCAGCTTTAAACAGGACACGACTATTCCAATCTTTTTTATATTGTTGCTTCACAAAAGTGTAAGTTTTAAAATATTGAAGCAGTACGTTTAATATTTTATCTTATTTCGTTTGTTAGTTTTTGTTTAATTCAACGAAGAAATTAATTTTAGGAATGTGTAAATGGGTGATTGCAATGACAAAATATGATAAGGTGGCAAAGGTGGTAGCACCGAAGAAACAGAGGTTAGCCGCAGCTCAAGCTGTTTACGACAAGGCTATGGCTGCACTCGCTATAAAGCAGGCACAACTTAAAGAGGTAAGTCTATCTGCTACTGCAGATATTATAGTTAAATCTAGTTGTTAGTTGTAGCTAGTCGCTGCTGAATCAAATGGTAAAATATTAAGTTTTCATGTACATACATATTAATTAGACATTTACTTATCTTTAATATCAGGATGTTCATTTTATTTTATTTGTTATTTAGGTGCAACTGAAATTGGCTAAACTAGAAGCTGCACTGGCAGAACAGAGTCGACAGCAAAAACTGCTAGATGATGAAGTGATGGATTGTAGCAACAAACTAAAACGCGCTGAAATGCTTATCTCTGGACTTGGTGGAGAAAAAACCAGATGGACACAGATTGCAAAGGACTTAAGAAATACTTATAATTCACTCACAGGTGCGTCGATAGTATAATTATTGTACAGTATTCACACTTTCAATCAGATGAGACTTTATCAAATCCCTGCATATGATTACAAAAACTTGACTTTAAAGACGAGATCGCTATTTATCATAAAATACTTGAAATTGCAGGTGATATATTGATTGCCGCTGGAATTATAGCGTATTTGGGACCGTTTACGGCTGTATTTAGATCTGAACAAGTAAGTAAAATTCTTAATAATACCCATATACACTCTAAATATTGGATAAGATATTTTTAAAAGTTTTGTATATGTCTAGGTATTAAAATGGGCGAGAGCTTGCTACGATTGTGGAATCGTGTGCACACTTAATTACAGTCTTATCAAATCGCTTGGAGAACCTGTCACCATTCAACAGTGGAACATAGATGGCCTGCCTGCAGATGATTTTAGCGTAGAAAGTGCTATTATTATCATGTATGTATGGATTTTTATAGGCATCTACTTTAATTAGAATTAATAATAATAAAAATTAAAATAGTTGGTTATATAAGCTATTTATTTGTTATAGGACTGCACGTCGCTGGCCATTAATGATAGACCCACAAGGTCAAGCTAATAGATGGATTAAGAATTTGGAGAAACCAAATAATTTATGCATTGTAAGATTAAGCCAAGCGGATTTAGGAAGAGTTTTGGAAAATGCTGTGCAGTTTGGTCAGCCGGTAAGTTCAGTAACAATCCCTTTGTTTTTTTTTAAAAAGCACCAAGATACTGAAGGTGTTATAGAAGTTGGCATGAATAATTACAGGTGTTGTTAGAAAATGTTCTTGAAGAATTGGACCCGATGTTGGAGCCTCTCCTCCAGCAACAGACATTCCGACAAGGCGGTGCTCTTTGTATTAAAATTGGTGACACTATTGTGGAGTATAGTAAAGATTTTAAGTAAGTTTTTTGCTAATCTTAAATGAAATCGACGTAAAACAGTAATAATAAAGAACTGAGTATATAACTGGAAAGATAAAATTGTCCTTAGTACATACCTACTCACCAAGTATTGCAGGTTATAGTAGGTTTTGGCTGCACTAAAACCCAAGAACAACAATTTATCATAATGAAATAAATACAAAATTGTTTAATATATTTGTTGACAGGCTGTATATAAGTACAAAGCTCGCGAATCCACATTACTTGCCTGAAGTGGGCGTGCGAGTTACTTTAGTTAACTTTATGTTAGCCAAAGATGGTTTACAAGCTCAACTATTAGCTCGAGTGGTTGCTAGAGAGAGACCAGATTTGCAGCAAGCCAAGTCTGATTTGACTACACAGGGAGCAGAGCATAGGAGATTATTGCAGGAAATTGAAAAGAAAATCTTAAATGTACTTTCCACTTCCGAACATTTATTGGAAGATGAAGAGGCTGTCCAGGTATATTTTAAGATTGTTTGTTAGCTTTAGATCATAAATAAATTGGACGTTAATTATTGATTTATCACTTCTACTAGATTTTGAACTCGGCAAAAGACACATCAAACGAAATCAAAGAGAAACAAGAGGTCGCTATGATTACAGAAAAAGCTATTGATGAAGCTCGAGATGACTATGTTCCTATAGCAGTGCACTCAACAAATTTATTCTTCCTTATTGGTAATCTTCTTGACATTTAAAAAAATATAAGATATTTACATTTTTAGGTTGTATAATAATTTTAATCACACATTTTGATTCATTGGTTTTCAGCGTCATTATCACATATAGACCCCATGTATCAATATTCTCTGGGTTGGTTCGAAGGTCTATTTACAGCGGCAATTGATAACACAGAAAAAGTGGATGAAATACCTGAACGATTAGAAATATTGCGAGCTTACTTTACTTACTCTCTGTACTCCAATATTTGTAGAAGTTTATTTGAAAAAGTAAGTGAATTTTGAATATATATAATATAATCCATATAACAACTGAATAATTTTCAGATATCTTTTTCGTTTTTCACATCAGTAGTTTACGTAAAAATTAGCACGTGTCATAAATTGAATCGTCCACTTATCTTTTATAGGATAAGTTAGTATTCTCACTTTTGTTAACGGTGACTATCATGGTGGCAGAAGGGAATCTTGATCAAAACGATGTTCTATTTGTGATGGGTGGTGCACAGCCACGTCAGGTATTACCAAATCCAGTGACCTTCCTAACTCCCCAAAATTGGGCAGAATTTAATGGGTAAGCATTACCATATTATATTACATCTCTAATTTTCATTTAAAGCTTTGTTTTGCACAAATAAATATTATAAATATTTGTGAGAGCACAAGTTACAAATTGCCTGCTGTAATCGAATCTAGTTATTTATTTTTGTATCAGTAATCAGATATTAGTGATGCAAGGTAGTTTTTCTTATAATGGATAATAAATAATATTAAAATAAAATAATTCTGTAAGAGGATTAAGTAGTTGATGTTATGTCGGATTTTTGTTCAATATAGACAAACAAACATGATATTGGAGGAGGGAGATTATTGATAATACCTTTTTTTTTATTGGTCGGGAAAATGGTTTAAGTACCACCCCCGCCGAGGGTGGGTCTAGAATATTGATAATACTTTTTTTTTATTAAAAAACTGTTTTCTACTCATTGTGAAAAGCATACGAATATAAATTTTAATCATCACATTTTGATGCAGTCTCAATGAAATAGAAAAATTTCATGGCATACTCGACCATTTCCTTGCAAATATTCCTGCCTGGGAAGCATATTGTAACACGTCAGATCCTCATAATCAGCCTCTACCTGAACCTTGGAAAAGTAAACTAAAGCCTTTTGAGGTGAGAAATTCAAATAGATCA